TAAAGCAACTGTCTTCATCAGTCAACAGTCATTTCTGTGAAACATTTGGAGTTGTTCTTTCTGTTCGGGACATAATTTTATTCCAAACAAACTCCTGTTCCTTAAGTTGTGCACGAAGTGTGGCAGTGTCTTCCTTCACTAGATGTGGCATCTTCTATTTTCCTGAGCCCTCGCTTTCATTGTACGTGTAAAGCTCTGTGTTAAGTAAATTAATAAATAAATAAAAAATCAAGCCCCAATTTAATCGATAAATTTTCCAGATTCATGGAATTTAATACTTTTTATCACTGTTGCACAAATCCACAAAAATGTATGGTAATTTTTATACCAATGCCAGTTACTGAAGGTGCTGTTTCAAAATGCTGTTTAGTGAAATTGAGGAGGTTAGGCAAAGTCAGGCAGGGTAAGCAGGTACTTGAAGCTTAATCACCTGAACAAAGCTAGGCAAACACCAGTGACAAGATTTTGAAACTGAGATGATCCAAGTAGCAGTTCAGGCTAAATCAGATAGTTAATGTATGCTGTAATTTATGGTTTGAATTTAGAGTAGATGTGTGAGAACTAACTCTGTTGTTAAAAGTCACGGTACTTTTCCCATCAGGAATTTTAGCTGAGCGAAGGAACTCATAATTAAATGCTAGCATGTTATATAACTTCATAGACATGCTTTTATAACACAAAGTTAGAGACTTAAATGGATTGCTACCATTATAATCATGCTCTGTTTTGGGACAGTCGTTATCCAAGTTATCTTCTGCTTGTTGGAGTTTCCTTGGACTTTAGTAGTCTGAAGGCAGCGAGGATGAGTATCTCTCAACTCCCAGGTCAAAGGAATTTCTCAGGGTTGTTCCATTTTGTTTTGGTTGGGTGTTTTCTTGTGTGGTTTTTTCCTGTTGACAGCGAAGAGATTCTTCTCCTCCTTGGCAGGCAAAATCCTGCTCTGACTCATTTCCAGTCCTTAAGCATAGAGTGGTTTATAAGAAAGACAGGAGTGGCTCCTACAAAGATGAGTATATTCTCCAGTTGTTTTTCAGTACTTGTGGTTATTCCCGTTTGGGTTTTATATTGAGAAGAAAACACAGGCAGGCAGTTTTCTTTGGTTTAAGGCACTCCATGGGGCCTGTTCCGTCACTGAATTTTTCCTTTTCGTAATGAGTACCTGTGGTTTTCCCACTGCTGCGGTCGGGCTGTGGAGGGCTGGAGGGAAGGTCACTTGGAGATCAGGTGAGGGAGCTGAGAGCTCCTTATAGCTGGCTCCAGAATGGGATGGGGTGATCATACAGTGTATAGGATGATTATTCTGTCACTGGCCTTTTTGCTTAGATGTTTGTTGAAGATGACAGGAGGGAAACTGCTGTGGAGAAAGAATGATTGCTAATTACCTTTGGGAGTGAAGACTAAGGAGGAAATGGCAAACCAGTGTGAAAATTGTATTTCTTGTGAACAGGAATATTGTCACAAGAAATAATGGTCTGCTACTTAGTTTTATTTCTCCTCTGCTTGTGTTCAGTTTTTTAATCTAAGATGCAATGATTAGAAAGAAAAACTAATGAATGTGGTTTTATGTATGTTACATTATTGCAAACTGTTGTGAAGTCCATATGATAGAATCTTAAGAACAGCTTTTGATATGAATTTGCAGCAGACACTACAGTTTGTGTAAAAAACCAAACCAAACCAAAAAAACCAACACAAAACCAAAAAAACAAACCCAAACCCCCAAAAACCAAAACAAAACAAAACCCAACACC